AACGACCCCCCAGGAATGCTAGGATCCCATTTTGTGGGATGGCCGGCTTACAGTTAATCCGTAGGACAGACAGTCCGTCCGAGGGGCGGGGCATCTGACGACCAGAACGCGCGCAGGGTCCTGGCAGTGGGAGTGGGTGGGAGGAAGAAAGGCGCAGTAAAACATACACGTGATGTACAATAACTTGGACGCGTCATTATGAACAAGTGCGTGAAGGAGGGAACCAGTCCTGAAGGTCATGGCGGGTCCGTGAACGGATTGTGTGCTCTTGAAGGTTGGTTGAGTTCGTAAAGATGCCGATTAGCCGTGAAGGTTTGGCGACGACCGCGAAGGGTGTCACACAGCATAAAGGATATGAGCGTTTCCTGGACGCCCTTTTCACTCGTGAACGCAAGCCGTGATCCATGACTCAGTAAGCTAACCTACCTTCAGGCACGGCCAGACCGTCCACGGTTGCGGAAACGTTCAGGTTTGTACAGGTCGTTCACGTAGAGACCGATCGTTGAGGATTTTGTATGGCATTAATGCCATTAATGCCATATGAATCCTCCATGGATTCATCGTTCTCATTGAAGCTGGCAGTTCCCGAACTTCCCGTCATCAAAGTTCGGCAGCTCGCGATCAGATTCCCACACCTCTGTTAAAGACCCCCACCATGCTGCCGCAGTTACCGCAAGAGCTCATCGACGCCATCGTGGAGGAAGTCCCGGAGGCGAGTCTCCCAGCGTGCTCATTAGCTACCACGCCATTTGTCATGTCCAGTCAGCGCCGTCTCTTCCGACGAATGACGCTGTCCCTTCCAGCATACGAATGCACCGCGCATCTCTTAGCTGCCTCCCCTCATCTTGCACTATATGTCCGACTTTTGGTCCTCGATGTTGAAGGGATCCCACCGGATTGTGAACCACTCAGGACCATCCTTGCTCCCTTGACGGAACTCGAGCGCCTCTCCGTCCTTGGGGGAAAGGTAGGGCACGAGTTTGAGCTGAATCCGTACCTCGGCGATCTCCTCTCGATCCCATCTCTCAAATTCCTCGAATTGGATGGGCTCACTGTGCCATCTTCCCTCATCACACGAGCCTTCTTCTCCTGTGAGGAGGTCCTGCTGTCAAATCTACGCATTTCCGACGATGGCCCGTCCTCCCTAGGAAACGTCTGGCACATCAGTGTTTCCTCGGACATGTATAACAATGTTCTCTCCTTTGTGCTTGATACAAAACGGGGTGGATCTCTGCCGCGACTCCGCCGACTTTCCTTAACTCTCCCCGTCAACCACTTTCTTCGTCCCATGCGCGCGGCGCTACTCGTCTCGTGTTCGCCGACTCTGGAACATCTAAAAATGCATTGGAGTGTATTCTCATTGGTGCCTCCTATGCTTCCCTTCCTCCCACTCTTGAAAGTGTTGGAGCTTTGGCTCGATGTCACCATCATAAAGAGCCTACCTGTGCTCTACTCCGTAATTTCTGCAGTCATTGCCTCCACCCCGCATCTCGAGGTTCTAACCCTCTCACTTATGGATACCAGGCCCTATGACAAGCTCGCTGCTGCAAACCGTCAGCAGTGGCCGGAATCCCAACCCTCGGTATGGGCCAAAATCGATTCTGCATTTGCGGACCCACATTGGCTCGATCTCCGCGAAGTTTGCTTCTGCTTGCGGGCCTATGGCGAGGAGCCAAAACGATTCTCTGGATTTATCGCATTCATGCAGGCAAATCTTCCTCGTACTTGCAATGCGGGAATGACACGGTTTTCGCGTGTCCGGCCGTGATTCAAATTGACCGATTTGCGACGGCCGGTTGATTCAGAGCGCCTCCCATCTCTTGACGATGTCCCTGCGCAGAACAGTGCTTATAAATATCTATCTTGGAATTACCATCTCGTTGACATACAGCCAGAGCTCGCGCGTCAGTTTAACGATTTCATTCATCTGCAAGTTCAACATTCGAGAGCTGAGCAAGCTCAGTTCAAATTTTGTCGGCCAAGGTATTAAAGATTGACTGGATATTTTGGGCGGCAGCCAGCAACAGCCGTCCGTTGATTCCCAGGTTCAGACACTTTGATGAACTCACCGTACGTGGACACGTTCAGGTGATATCTCATCTTGTGCCAACAGTGCGCTTTCACGAGGTCCTCCGACTTCGACTTTGATTCTTCAAAACACCCCCACAGTGAAGATTCAAATCTCTCAAGGCCGATACGCTACTTCTCTAGCCTGTCATATAAGCACTGAATTTTAGCCAAGCGCTCTGATGTGCAGTGCTTTTTTCAGTTTCAACTTTTAATCGTTGTTTAATCGCGGCAGTTCCCGCCATCATTTCCACCATCAAGCTTCAAGGCAAGTGATTGTTTTGGAAACCACCATGCCACCACATTTACCGCAGGAGCTCATCGAGGCCATCGTCGAGGAGGTCCCGACTGAGAGCCTCGCAGCTTGCTCGCTGACTGCGATCGCGTTCCAGCCCTGAGCACCGTCTTTTCCAATGGATGTTGCTCGCCAGTATTGCCTCGTACAGGCGCGCCGCGCGACTCCTGGCCTCATCTCCACATCTCGGACCATGTTTTCGCTATTTGGCCCTCGATCTTAAAGAGGTGCCCACGCCGACGTATATCCCCACTCTCAGTTGACTCGCCTGGAGCTCTGGCTTGACGTCGAACTCACGAAGACTCCTGCCGAAGTGCATTCCATAATCGCAGCAACCATCGCCTCCACTCCCCACCTCGAGGTGTTGACCCTCGCGTTTCTGGATCGTCCCGAATACCCTCATCGTCCCTCATCGTCCCAATCGCCAGCAGTGGACAGATGTCAGACCGGAAGCATGGACTGACCCTGACTCCGCATTCATGGACATGCGGAACCTGTGTGAAGTCGGGTTTTCGCTGCGCTGGTTCCCTCACGAGCCCGAACGCTTTGCGGCCTTTACCTCGTTCATTCAGGCTCATCTCCCTAGATCGTTCGACGCCGAACTGATGCGGTTCTCATACCGTCCCTGCTTACAGCATGCAATGTGTAGATTTTAATTGATTTACTGAGATTTTCACCAGACGATCGTTGAATTACTCTGTACCAGCTCGAGAACTTCCTCGACTGCACTTAGTCTGTGCTCAACTTTGGTTTCGATTTCTTGGTTCTCGCAGCAGTTACGCCGTCAAACGTTACAACCATGTCAAACTTTACCTCGCGCTGTTTCTCTCAACGAAGCAGAAATCCCTAGGAACTCCTTGATTCCAACTGAACCGCGAACTTGTTTTATCCAACACGGACCGGCCCGGCATCAAAACTGCTTCTGCGAGCTGTGCAAAACTACGCTGTGCAAAAATACGCTGTGCAAAACTACGCTGTTGTTCGAACCGCCATGCCAGAACTACCCCAAGAGCTGATCAATGCTATCGTCGACGAGGTCTCGGACTCGAGTCTCATGGCGTGCTCATTGACTTCGACCGTGTTCGTCGCTCCCAGCCAGCGCCGCCTGTTCCGACAGCTGGCGCTTACAGACCTTCCTACATACCAACGCGCTGCGCGGCTTCTAGTCTTCTCTCCGCATCTGGGGCGACATGTGCGTTCATTGGCAGTCCATATCACGGGGATACCAAGGAACTTTTCTCTGTTGAGGAATATCCTGGGGTACTTCTTGGATGTCGAGCGTGTCGCGATTGTTGGGGACTCCATGACGGCCAACCAGATTTCAGAAAATCCCTGCCTTATCACCCTCCTCTCTCTACCCACCCTCAAATGCTTTGCCTTCGAGCATATGAATGGTGTTCCAGCGGCCTTGATCTCACGGGCCCTCTCGGCTTGTGAGCAGGTGTTGCTATCCTATCTGTCCATTGCCCACGAAGACGAACTGGCGTCGGAAGCATTCACCTATTCGGGAATCCTATGGAACTTTGGTATTGCTGGAGACGCGTACGGCAAGATTCTCTCCTTTGCGCTTGACCCTAGACGAATTGGGTCACTATGCCGGCTCAAACGGCTTTCTGTTATATTCCCTCCAATCGCGGGTACTCTTATCCACAGATTTACGGAGCTGCTCGTTTCATGTGCATGGACGCTGGAATATTTGGAACTTGAGCTGGGTGCGTTCATGTTCACTGGAATATATATTACGCTCAACTCTTTTCTCAGACCTCCCTCTGCACAACCTCCCCGCGCTCCCAGTTTTGAAGCACCTGGTGATTTGGGTCGACACCGAACTGACAGAGACACCAGACATGCTACATTCCATTGTCATCGAGTCAATCACGCACATGCCGAACATCGAAGTTATCACCATCGCGCTACTAGTTCGCCCAAACCGCTCGTATCAACGATGGACAGATCGGAACCCAGCGGCGTGGGTTGACCTTGACTCGGCATTCGCGAACTCACCGATGCCAAGTCTGCGGCAAATCGAGTTCTCCTTGCGTTGGTTCCCTATGCAGGGGGTGGGCTTCGCAGATTTTTCTTCGTTCATGCAGCATCATCTTCCTCGCACTTTCGACGCTGGGATGACCCTATTTTCCCACCGCGAAGTAGAACAGCATCCAATGGACAGATTCTCCGCGGGTCACACTTGAACTGGCGGTATTTATTTTGGACGGCATGTATATCCATTGTTGTATTGTTCGCAATGTAATCATCGAGATACCGAAAATCTAGGGTCCGCGATCGCTGGAATCTTGCCAGAGAGAGAATGAGAATTATCATTCATTGTTGAACGACTGATATTTTTTGTTCAAGGTCCAAGTCAATTTAGAGAACCATCGGCGCCCACTTGCATCTGAACGTTATTTGAACCGTGAGAAAATCCAAGCTTCACTTCGGTCTTGAGTAAGTACGAGGAAGACATTGTCAATGCCAAGCAAGGTTGCGTCCGGTGCTACATCTGTTCGACTTGGAGCAGAGGCGGAGACTGCTCAGTGTCGGACGGTACACACCTGTGTTTTGTTTCAACTTTACAGGAGAGAAGCAGACTAGTCGCAGAAACTGCCACACGTGTAGACCTTGAATAGAGATAGGAAAAGGCTTGGTAGTGAATGGTCCACACCGGTATGTGATGTATAATTCCATCGTCTCAAGCGGGAGAGACCTGTTCGAATCAGGTCCAAGCCATAAGTCATCCATCGCGTTTTTTTTTGTATGGCTTATTGAAAAAATGTTTACTGCTGCAGACCTCATCCAAATTGTCGGGAAATAAGGCTCAGTGGCGGTCGGCCACACCTGCGTTCTGTAACAGTTAGACAGTGATTCAAGCAGGAGAAGGCTCGGTGGTGGTTGGTCCACACCTGTGTTCTGTAGGTGATTTGTGCCTGGGATCTAAGCAGGAGGAACCTGTTCGAATCAGGCCCAAGCCCCAACGTTCTTCGGATGCCATAGAAAATGGTGCATGTATTGACCTTGAATCAGAGGTAGGGAAGGCTCAGTGGCGGATGGTCCATCCCTGTCTTCTGCACCCAGTTGCCAACCGACTTGAGCCGGAGAAGCCTGTTCGAACCAGGCCCGAGTCATGAGTCTGAACTGTCTCAATGCTCTTTTTTATGTAGAAAAAATTGGGTGAAGATGTTGCATGCATTGAACTTAAATTAAAGGTAGGAAAGGCTCAGTGGTGGATGGTCCACACCTGTATGCTGCGGAGTTTGATTTTCCCAAACAGAAGAGGCCTGTTCGAATCAGGTCTGAGCCTTAATGGTGATGCTCGGTCGAATGTTTTTGAAGAAATACGGAAAATGCTGCGTGTATCGACCTTGGATTAGAGGTAGGAAAGCCTCAGTGGTGGATGGTCCATTCCTGTCTTCTGTACTAGGCTGCCAAATGACTTGAGTAGGAGAAGCTTGTTCGAATCAGGCCCGAGCCATACTGCCGGCTTTAGAACGCATCTTTCTTTTGCAAGGAATATAGGAAATGCTGCATATATCAGCCTTGAATTAGAGGTAGGAAAGGCTCGGCGGTGGATGGTCCACACTTGTATGCCACGAAGTTTGATTTTCCCAACCAGAGGAGGTCTGTTCGAATCAGGCCTGAGCCATCCACCCTGCATGTGGCATCAACCTTTTTATTGAACCAGTTCTAAGAGAATGCTGCATATTTCAGCCTTGAATTAGAGGTAGGAAAGGCTCGGTGGTGGATGGTCCACATCTGTCTTCTGTATCTGGTTGCCAATCGACTTGAGCCGGAGAAGCCTGTTCAAATCAGGCCCGAGCCATGCAGTTTTTGCACAGTGTCAACCTTTTTATTGTACCAGTCGCAAGAGAATGCTGCACGTATTGACCTTGAACTAGAGGTAGGAAAGGCTCGGTGCGGGATGGTCCACACCTGTCTTCTCTACCCAGTTGCCATCCAACTTGAGCAGGAGAAGCCTGTTCGAACCAGGCCTGGGCCATGTCGCAAAGTACTTTGGTGACCAACCTTTTTATTGAACCAGTTGCAAGAGAATGCTGCATATATATCAGCCTTGAATTAGAGGTAGGACAGGCTCGGTGGTGGGTGGTCATCCTTGCCTTCTGTACCCAGTTGCCAATCGACTTGAGCAGGAGAAGCCTGTTCGAATCAGGCCTGAGTCATGAGTCTGCACTGTCTCAGTACCTTTTTTTTATAGAAAAAAACAGGGGGAGAAAAGGTTGCATGTACAGTATTGACCCTGAATTGAAATTGGAAGAGGCTCGGTGGTGGATGGTCCACACCTGTCTTCTGTAACGAGTTGCCAATCGACTTGAGCAGGAGAAGCCTGTTCGAATCAGGCCCGAGCCATATGCCGATCTCGAGAGGCCATATTTCTTTTGGAAGGAATACAAAAAATGCTGCATATATCAGCCCTGAATTAGAGGTAGGAAAGGCTTGGTGGTGGATGGTACACACCTATCTTCTGCACCCAGTTGCCAATTGACTTGAGCAGGAGAAGCCTGTTCGAATCAGGTCCGAGCCTTAGTGATGGTGCTCGGTCGATTTTTTTTGAAGAAATACAGAAAATGCTGCATATATCAGCCTTGAATTAGAGGTGGGAAAGACTCGGTGGTGGATGGTTCATTCCTGTCTTCTGCACCCCATTGCCAACCGACTTGAGCAGGAGAAGCCTGTTCGAACCAGGCCCGAGCCATGCAGTTTTCGCACAGTATCAACCTTTTTATTGCACCAGTCGCAAGAGAATGCTGCGTATATCAGCCTTGAATTAGGGGTAGGAAAGTCTCGGTGGTGGATGGTCCATCCCTGTCTTCTGTACCAGGTTGCCAACCAACTTGAGCAGGAGAAGCCTGTTCGAATCAGGCCCGAGCCCTATCGTTCTTCAGATGCCATATTTTGTTTTGGAAGGAATGCGGAAAAGGCTGGATCTATTGACCTTGAATCAGAGGTATGAAGGGCTCGGTCTTGGATGGTCCACACCTGTCTTCTGTACACAGTTGCCGACTGACTTGAGCAGGAGAAGCCTGTTCGAATCAGGTCCGAGCCTTAGTGATGGTGCTCGGTCGATTTTTTTTGAAGAAATACAGAAAATGCTGCATATATCAGCCTTGAATTAGAGGTGGGAAAGACTCGGTGGTGGATGGTTCATTCCTGTCTTCTGCACCCCATTGCCAACCGACTTGAGCAGGAGAAGCCTGTTCGAACCAGGCCCGAGCCATGCAGTTTTCGCACAGTATCAACCTTTTTATTGCACCAGTCGCAAGAGAATGCTGCGTATATCAGCCTTGAATCAGAGGTAGGAAAGGCTTGGTGGTGGATGGTCCATCCCTGTCTTCTGTAACAGGTTGCCAATCGACTTGAGCAGGAGAAGCCTGTTCGAATCAGGCCCGAGCCTATGCCGTTCTTGAAAGGCGATAGTTCTTTTGGAAGGAATGCCGAAAATGCTGCACGTATCAGCCTTGAATTAGAGGTAGGAAAGGCTTGGTGGTGGATGGTCCATCCCTGTCTTCTGTACCAGGTTGCCAGCTGACTTCAGCAGGAGAAGTCTGTTCAAATCAGGCCCGAGCTGTGCAGGCGGTCTCGAGATGTTTTTCTTGGAAGGAATGCCGAAAATGGTGCATGTATCGACCTTGAATCAGAGGTAGGAAAGGCTTGGTGGTGGATGGTCCATCCCTGTCTTCTGTACCCAGTTGCCATCCGACTTGAGCAGGAGAAGCCTGTTCGAATCAGGCCCGAGCCATATACCAGTCTTCAAGATCCACTTTTTTTTTTGGAAGGAATGCCGAAAATGCTGCACGTATCGACATTGATTTAAAGGTAGGCAAGGCTCTGTGGTGGATGGTCCACACCTGTCTTCTGTAACAGGTTGCCAATCCACTTGAGCAGGAGAAGCCTGTTCGAATCATGCCCGAGCCATATTGTGTCCACAGCATAAACCTTTTTATTGCACCAGTTCTAAGAGAATGCTGGATATGTCAGCCTTGAATTTAATGAGAGTTAGGAAAGGCTCGGTGGTGGATGGTCCATTCCTGTCTTCTGTACCAGTTTGCCAGCTGACTTGAGCAGGAGAAGCCTGTTCGAATCAGGCCCGAGCCCTCCCGTTCTTTGAATGCCATATTTTCTTTTGGAAGGAATGCCGAAAATGCTGCATGTATCAGCCTTGAATTAGAGGTAGGAAAGGCTCGGTGGTGGATGGTCCACATCTGTCTCCTATGTGGAACATGACTGCAAGCAGAGAAGCCTGTTCGACTCGGGTCCGAGCCATACACCAATCTCGAGAGGCCATATTTCTTTTGGAAGGAGTACAAAAAATCCTGCACATATTGACCTTGAATTAGAGGTAGGAATGGCTCGGTGGTGGATGGTCCATTCCTGTCTTCTGTACCAGGTTGCCAGCTGACTTGAGCAGGAGAAGCCTGTTCGAATCAGGCCCGAGCCCTCCCGTTCTTTGAATGCCATATTTTCTTTTGGAAGGAATGCCGAAAATGCTGCATGTATCAGCCTTGAATTAGAGGTAGGAAAGGCTCGGTGGTGGATGGTCCACATCTGTCTCCTATGTGGAACATGACTGCAAGCAGAGAAGCCTGTTCGACTCGGGTCCGAGCCATACACCAATCTCGAGAGGCCATATTTCTTTTGGAAGGAGTACAAAAAATCCTGCACATATTGACCTTGAATTAGAGGTAGGAATGGCTCGGTGGTGGATGGTCCACATCTGTCTTCTGTATCCAGTTGCCAATAGACTTGAGTAGGAGAAGCCTGTTCGAATCAGGCCCGAGCCCTGCCATATTTTGAATGCCATATTTTCTTTTGGAAGGAATGCCGAAAATGGTGCACGTATTGACCTCAAGTCAGAGGTAGGAAAGGCTCGGTGGTGGATGGTCCACATCTGTCTTCTGTATCCAGTTGCCAATAGACTTGAGTAGGAGAAGCCTGTTCGAATCAGGCCCAAGCCATGAGTCTGAACTGTCTCAATGCCTTTTTTTATATAGAAAAAATCAGGTGGAGAAAAGGTTGCATGTACAGTATTGACCCTGAATCAGAATTGGAAAAGGCTCGGTGGTGGATGGTCCATTCCTGTCTTCTGTTTCCAGTTTCCAATTGACTTGAGTAGGAGAAGCCTGTTCGAATCAGGCCCGAGCCATATGACAGTCTTCAAGATCCACTTTTCTTTTGGAAGGAATGCCAAAAATGCTGCACATATTGACCTTGAATGAGAGGTAGGAAAGGCTCGGTGGTGGATGGTCGATTCCTGTCTTCTGTACTAGACTGCCAAATAACTTGAGCAGGAGAAGCCTGTTCGAATCAGGCCCGAGCCTATGCCGTTCTTGAAAGGCGATATTTCTTTTGGAAGGAATGCCAAAAATGGTGCATGTATCGACCTTGAACTAGAGCTGGTGAAGGCTCAGTGGTGGATGGTCCATCCCTGTCTTCTGTGCGGCAATGAGATGTTTTCCAAGCAGGAGACAGCCGGTTCGAATCAGGCCCGAGCTATGGAGATAGTTGTGGACATTTCTTTTGGTAAAAAATTACAAACTGCAATGTGGCACATGTACACTGCTACCTCTGTGAAAGTGAAGGATAATCTAACTAAGGTGCTCGACGCCGTGAAAGCCAAGAAGAACCACGTCACCCGTCTTTTGCCTCTTGTCTTCGACCGACCACATCAAGCCCACCCAGGTGTATAATTTCGGCCGCCACACCAATACTGCTCGCGACTAATTATAACGACCGTGCTGCAAAGAAGTCATCGCGCGTCGCCTCCACACGCGTATTACACGTGTCCTGACGCGTTTTTGAACGCCGATCGTATTCAGGTACGCTTCCCACCACTCGCTCAAGACAAATTTGGATTGGATTCCCGTCGACGTCGCGTGTTGACGGGAGACAGGACTATTCCGTCGGGCAAGGTAAGACAGGAGTATTCCGTCGGTCATAGTATAAAAGCACGTATCACTCCGTTCTCCAACACACCCCTGCGACTTCCTCAGCTCTGACGCGTCGCACCGCCGTCATGTGATCGCGTTTCCCGACTCTAATTCCAATTGTCCTCAACCTCAGAATTGAATGCGGGCATCAGCGCCGACGAAATGACTGGCGATGACTAGCGAGGTCGACTTGGCGAAGACGAAGGAAAAAATCGGACGGCTCGGCGTTGCAACAAACGATCATTGATTTGCGAAAAAGGAGTCTCGTCGTTGTCGACCATGAACCCAATGTCTCCCCGTGTAAGTGTTAACCTTTGCGGACGATGTATTCGCTGACGGCTCGACGCTGCAGCGGTCAGGGACAATGACCCACCACGGATTCGCCGCCGCTCCCGATCCGTGCGTCTTATCTTGCGCCCACAACTCGTAAATGTAACCCCTGCCATGTAGATTCGCACCCCGTCGACGTCCCGGCGCCTCTTTCGTCAACGCTCTGCTTGCCACCGCGCTCTTCCGATGCTGGCACATTCTCATGTTCTTCGCGGCGTGGTCCACTGTAATCGCCGTCCTCGACCACCACAAGTTCAAGGTTCGACTGGCGTCGACGTTGCTCACTGTGTGCGTGCCGCAAACCTTTATCGCGCCAAACCGCACGCAAGCTAATCAGAATCCAACTTTTTTGCGTTTAGCATCGGTACCGTGCTCGGTTTCGTCGTGTCCTATCGCACAACCTCGTCTTTTGAGCGCTATAACGAAGGGAGAAAGCTATGGTCGCAGATTATTCTTGCCAGCCGCACCTTTGCGCGCACGGTGTGGTTCCATGTTCCAGGTCCGTCCGTCTCATTTTTTCACAACAGCAGAATGCTAATACATGCGCGTGCGCCAGATCTACCGCCGACGAAGGGAAACGACGCGGAAACGATGAAGGCGCGCTCAATGATCGAGAAGAAGACGGTCATCAACCTGCTCGAGGCGTTTGGCGTCGCGGTCAAGCACTATCTGCGCGGCGAGGACGGGATCTACTACCAGGACCTGTACTACCTGGTGAAATTCCTCCCCGCATACGCCCTCCCCGCGGGCATCCCCTCCAACGCGGACTTCACCAACGGGGCGGACGGCGCCGGCACGGGGCGCTCGCCGACCTTCTCCGACGCCTCGCACGGCTTCCGCCCCTCGCTCCCCAACCAGCCCGGCTCCTTCCTGTACCAGCGCTCCCCGCCCTCGTCCATGTCCGCGCCGCACCTCCCCCTCCCCGTCACCGCCTCCTCGCCTGCGAAAGAGGGGCGCGACAGACGCACGAGCTTCGCTGCCAAGATCCCGGGGATCCCCGAGCGCGCGGAGAAGGAGAGGGAGGCCCGGGAGGGGGGCCGGCCGACCCCGCCCCCGCTCACGATCTCGCCGCCCACGCGCCTCAATTCGCCGACGGACGAGAAGAACCCGATCCTGCCGCTCTCGCCCCCGCCCCTGCTCGGCGCGCGCAAGGTCAGCTCTGACCTGCGGAGCAGCAAGTCCATACGCTCGATTCGGTCCCCGCATCCGGGCGAGCCGCAAAAGGTGTGTGTGTGCGATTTCGTTCGCCCTTGCCGGGGTGTGGGTTTATGAATGCGCGGACAGATCATCCTGGCGCGCGCGGACGAGGCGTTCCTCCTCCCGGGTTCGCTCCCGCCGAAATACCACCTCTTCGACCTCTTCCCCTTCTCCCTCCTCGTGCGCTGCCTCACCAAGCGCGGGCGCGAGGTCAAGGGCAAGAAGGCCGCCCGCGTCCGCGCGAAGCTCAGTGCGGGCAGCGGCGGCGGGAGCCACAATCTGCCGTTGGAGGTTAGTTTGTATCTGGTGAGTACGCGCCCGGGCGTTTTTCGCTTGACCGAATTGGGGCTAATTATTCTTATTTTTTTTATTTTGGGGGTAGAGCTCGTACATCGCGGCGCTGCAGCACCGGAAGCAGACGGATGTGCCTACCACGAGTGCGTCCGCGTCCTTTCCCCGCCCTCCCTCGAGATGGGGAAACTGATCTGCGCGCTGCGGTATAGACACGCTCCTGGCCTCGCTCAACAACCTCGTCGACGCCCTGACGGGGCTCGAGCGGATCCTGACTACGCCGATTCCGTTCTCGTGCGTCTCTGTTTCCTTGCTTCCTTGCTTTCCTTCTTTCTTTCTTTCTTTCTTTCTTTCGTTCTTTCGTTCTTTCGTTCTTTCGTTCCTTCCTTCCTTCGTTTTTTTCTTTTTTTCCTTTTATGCGTTTCAAATTATTTTATTTTATTTTCGAGCCCACCCCCCGCTTTCGTAGTACGCAGTGAGAACTCGAACGCGCACTGACTCCATACCCCACACAGGTACTCGATCCACCTGTGGGTCGTGACCACGATCTACTGTCTCGCGCTGGTGCGTTCGCGTTTTCCTTGGTTTGCAGGCCCTTGCGGGGCGGGGTTCTCCGACCTGCGCTTTCGACGCCGACTGCGCCGCGTTGCGAGCGGGGTGCAGACAGACTGGGTGGGTGTGCGGATGACGCGGCTTGGGGGCGTTGTTGGGCTGGGCGATGTCGATGTCGATGCCACTTGATCTCGCGGCCCAAATCTGCCCTGCTCTCCACGAACGACGGCTGTATGCGCGACGTTGCCGATGCGCTCGGTGGATGGTCCGCCTCGGAGCAGGTCCTTACCTCCGCTTCCGCTGCCACTGCCGCTGCCGCTGCTCCCCTACCTCCGCTGCCGCTCCTTTAAGCCGCTGCTGATGCGAATGCTATTCCGGCGTGGGCGCGTGGACGGTGGGGGATGTGGATCTTGCTTGCGTCCCGGGTGAGAACGCGCGCGGGGCAGTGGGCGTCTTTACCCTGGTCTCCGCTGCGCACCTCGGCGCTCGCGATGCGCTGGACCTGCACCGGCTCGTCTGGCGTTCGCCGGTGTATCTCGAGATGCCGATGTTTTCCTGGCGCTCCATGCCTTGACCCTCCCCTCCTCATTTCACCTTATTTCGAAAATACCCTTCACTAACGCATGATCATCTCGTCGTTTTTTCCAGCCAAGCCAAATCATCCTCACCATGGGCTGGGCGACGATCCCCGCGACGATCCTGCTCACGTTTATCTTTTTTGGGTTTTGGTTGCGGGGGAGGAGATTGAGAGTGCGTACATTGTTTTTCTTTTTCGTCGCCGCGGTCGGGGAGGTTCTGTGCGGTGCGAGCGGGTGCAAGCGGGGGGTTTACTCGATGTCGCTAAGCTGGAGGTCGGGCGCACGAATGGTGCGCCCCCCGAATCAGGAGTACATTTGTTCGGTGGACCAATCCACCAACCGACCCAAGTAGCAACTGCTATATATAGAGGCCCTCCGTATATCGCGAGCTAGCCTCCAACTCGCATCCTCCTCTCTTTTCCCTCTCTCCCTTCCTTTTCCATCTCAACGCGGCTAACCCATCCCCGCATCTAGACCCCTTCGGCTACGACAAGAACGACCTGAACCTCGACCACTTTACGCACAACATCATACGGAACGAGCTGCGCGCGATTACGAGCGCGAGCGCGCCGGAGCCGGATCGGTGGGTGAGTAGAGGCTGGGATTTTTTTATCGTTATTGTTATTCTTTGGGGAGAGTGTGGGTTCAGGCGGCTTGCTGGGCGCTCTCGGCGCTGCGGGTGGATGCGGGATCACGGGACGGCAGCTCGCTCCGCATTTTGAGTCTTCGTGCTCGTGCTCGTGCCTCCCTCCTCACCCTGCCTCGCTTTCCCTGCATTCCCACTCTAGTCTGAGTCTGCCATCAGCGCTAACAACCCCTTTCTCTGCAGATCTTCTCCCCGGAGAATGACCTCCTCTTCGCAGGGGACCCGAACGTCGACGAGCGCGTGGGGCCGGCGGAGTGGGTCCGGAGGGGGAGCGGGCAGATGTTGGGGGCGTTGAGCGTTGTTTGAGTGTGACGTTGCTCCCTCCTCAAGCTCAAATTCAAGCGAGCGCTCTGAGCCCCGCTTCCTGGCGGGAGGGCGCGCGTTGGAAGGCGGGGAAGGCGTTAGAGGAGATGGACGATGGCCGTGCGTCAGGGATACCATTGACCATACAAAATAAGGTAGGGGACAGACAAATACGGTTGCCCCACGTGATGTGACAATAACGCTCCTTTTTGGGAAGACTCAACGTTCAACGGCTCTTTTAAACACTTCATTGTAACTTAGCGACAATCGACGCCCATAGGGTTGTGTGTAAATGTCTTCCATGTACTCTCAATTTTTCTGGAGAGTTTTGGTCCAAAACTGAAAGACTAGTTCCAATATTTTTGACATCATACTGCTTTTTGTTGAAGTTGCGTTGTAACCTTCATTCCATTCAAGAAGAATTTGTTTCACACACTCATTTCATTGTGTAAGAAGCCTTTCAGACAAAATCTACTGCCCTTGAGTGTTCACCTTCGTCGATACACCCATGTTTGCTTTGTTTTGAAACATACCACAAGAGACCTGACAGTCCGCAGGGTGTTTAGGCAGTTGGGAACACTTGAGAAATGTATGAAACTTCCTCCAGATCTGCTGCAGAGCACCTCACTGGGTGTAATCCAGCAAAGGGATAATATAAAAGCTAGTTTG